TTTGAACCACCTACCTTGCAGTCCAGTGCATTAACCCATGGCTCCACACCAGGATTCCTTACAGTAAATAGACAGTCATTAAAACAAGCCAAACTGCCATTTGGTGTTTTTGAGACCAAAGAAGTTTTGGCTTAAATAGCCTCTCTTGCTGACTATTTGAAGATGGTATGGATCCACTTTATGTAATTAATGATGACAGTGTAGAGATTGTATTCCTGAAATACAGTGTTAGTTGGAAGTTAGCAAATCAGCCTTAGCTTGTTGCATGCTTTCAAATCCTGTTGTGTTAAATGGCCAAAATGCCACCATCGCAATTTCATTCAAGTTGAAGGGATAGCTTTTGGTTAGTAACCCAAAAATTTACATGGTTCCAGTTATTAATAAATGTCGTATAATTGCAGTAACAGCATAGTGAGAGCAGTGGGAACCGGCAGTCACAGATACCAAACTCAGCATAGAGGCATGTGATGTGATATTGCATGGTTCTAAAATGAAAATCCTTAATGGATTAGTTCTAATCATTTTAGGGCTATTCCCAAAAGGTTAATTTACAGTTCACATTTTGAAATAACACTATTAATCTTTAAAAAAATTATACAGCAAAATAACTTCATAGCTCCCTGTGAGTTTAATAATTTTTACATTAAAGTCAAGAACAAGTATGTCCACAGAGTAGACAGGGATGGGCAACTTGGATATTGGCTACCCAAAGTCAGGGTGCTACAAAGGCAAGAAGTAACTGGCTTACAAGCTTTCAAGAGGGAACCTAGATTCAGAGGGCGTGAAGAAAGATAGAATCTCCACTGAGTAATATACAATCTGTCTATGTTGGCCTGATGAAATGAAATGTGGATGGGTCTCTCGTGATACAACAGTGAATAATTGTTATCAGGACTGTTTGTGAGGGTTGGAAATGTAAAGGTAGACATTTTGTAGCAAGGAGGGGAGTGATTAACTTCTCAGCCTAGGAGTGGAGGTCCCTGGGACCATCAAGGGAGAAAAGCAGAAAGCAGGACCCTACCCAGAGAAGCAGTGATGCCTGAGATGGAGGCAGAGATGATGATGTGGAGATATGGAGTAGTTGGGGACTTTAGACCCAGAGAGGAAGAGGGGCTGTGTGCTGATGACCGGGGGGCAGGATTGTAGTGTATACCCTTTGGTTGGTTGATGATGCATGGAGGGGATTGTAACCATGGCAATAAAACGATATACGATAGGATGAATGTAAAACTAATGTTCTCCCATGTAAACTATCACATAATTTACAAAAAAAAAAAAAAAAAAAAAAGAACAAGTATGTCATTACCTTTAAAAACCAAGGAAGATAGCAAAATAAACACCAAAGAGAAAAAAAACAACAACCAAAGACCAGGTTATTGCCAAAGAAAGTTATGTGTGTACACTTCAGCAGGGATGGGGAACCTTTTTTATGCCAAAATTTATAGCATCGTTTTCAGGCCATATGAAATTATCAAATTAAAACTTAGCCTGTTATACTTGGTCAAACATTTAAATAACTCACTCCTGATGTGATGGCTGGAGTCCTGGTGTGGCTATGCAGGATAATGTACTAGGCCGCAAGCTCAGTTTGAACCACAAGGTCGGCAGTTCAAACTCACCAGCCGCTCCTCAGAAACCCTATGCAGGGTCTCTATGAGACAGAATCAACTTGAAGGCACTTACCTACAACAACAATGTGATGACTGGACCTGTGGTTGCCTTGGCAAGGCCAGAACAAATGATTCTGTGGGTCTGATACGGCCCTCAGCCAGACCTTCCCCACCCCTGTTCTAAAGCCAGCATTGCATTATAGACATATTGGATATTTGGAGTATCTTTATTTATCATTACTAGAACAGGTATGTTAATGTTTATTTTTACATAGCAGAATAAGCCACATGCTAAGTATTTTATATCTTAAATGCTTTGATCACTTACAAATTTACAATCAAGTAATATAGTGGCATGTTGAATTCAGAACAACTAAAGCAATAAACGTAAATTTAAATCAGATTTACATCCTTTTTAGCTTACCAACTTTGTCACAGTGAGTTGTTTGGGGGTTTTTTATTTAGAAAAGGGAAGTCACAATGACTTCCTTATTAGTACTTGTTATCTCTATATTTTACATTTTCCTCACTTTAATATTGGAGTTCTGAGAATCAGTAAACACTGAGAAATGCTGGCAGAGCAGGTATGTGAAGTAATTTCTATGGTAAGAAGGCCAGACTAGCTTTTGAAAACCATAGCCAGATTTTCAGGCTATGAATTGGTCTTCTAAGAAAATTCTAAAAGATTTAAGTATCGTTGTCATTGTATGATTCAGTATTGTTGATGTAATTTATTGAGTAGTTGTAATTTTTTTAAATTTTATATAATGAAATAGGCTTTTATAGACTTGAGAGTCAGGCTGAAACTCTTACTTCAGTCAGCTATTTGAATCTGTCGACCAATATATAAAGTGGTGTCAACAAATAAAATATCTATTAGAAGTGCTGTGGAGCTGAGCTAATGAGTTTGAAAAAGCTTTGCTAGATGTAAAATTCGATCTAGAAGTTTCTGGTCTTAACAATTCTTCATTCGTTCTTTTTGCACTGACAAAATTATTTTCTGATACAGTCTGAATTGATCTTTGTAGAAGAATGGACTATTTATTTAGGATAGAATAAGATAATATTTTATAAATTACCACAAAATGTTACAGAATGATTTTCAGTTTTCACAATCCTATGGAACCCTGGTAGTGTAGCGGATTATGAGCTACATTCCTAACTGCAAGGTCAATAGTTCAAATCTACCAGTCACTGCAAGGGAGAGATATAAGACTTGTCTGCTCCCATGAAGATTCACAGCCTCGGAAACCCTCTGCAGAGCCGCTATGAGTTGGAACCAACTCCATGGCACACGACCACCACCACCGCCACCATGTATTAATGGCCGGATAGCCTTCAGTATTCCAAATAAAGAATAAAGGAGTAGTGATAACTTTTGTAATCCCAAAGAAAATGGATTATTTAAATTCATCACAGATGGAGAGATGTCAAAGATAAATCATTATATCTACATTTCTCATTGTAGAAAGCTCTGAGGGTGTTTGTTGTATGGTAAGAAACAAGCATTGCTTTGTGACAGAATTAATCATAAACTTCCCATAGCCTCATCTTAGCTTCTACAGATGAGTGTGCATGAGGACATTGGCGTTCCAGGAACCATCCCTAAGATTAAGACATTCATAAAGAGAAAATGATGTTAGGATGCATGCAATACACAAACCGCATATACTGGAGTAAGTAGGATAGTGACCTTTCAAAGAGGACATACTAGATTCTATATGTCTCAGAATTTAATGTGGCTTAGTGCTTTAAAAGAGATGACATATGACATATATAACTAGTTCTAGCTTCACTGAAGTCTATTATTTCTAAATATGTTGCATAAATCACTTCTTCAGTCAACATAATTCTGTACAATAAATTCTCTGTAAACTAGTTCTGAGAATAAATGAGGACCAACGTCTGAGATTTTTGGTAGATGCTAACGATATGTGAATGCTTGCTACAATCATTTTCAAATATTGCTTTAAAATAATTCCAAGAATTAGAACATATCCAATGGAAAACAGAGAAGCAAAGCTGGTCCCAAATGATTTTTGAACTTTGAAATAAACAACCTGTGGAAGCCCTCACCATAGATAACATTCTCCAAACTATAGAGGCAACTGTGCTTCACAAACCGAAATTCTGACTTTAGAAAAAGAGCTTCCTTAAAATACACTTTTTAAATTTAGGATATGCAAATATTGTCTTTAATTCTCATTCCACATGTTTTGTATTTTTAAATTAATACATTCATTCTTAACCCCTGGGTTTGTACTCATAATTTGAAAAACACAAGTGACAAACTCACTAGTCATAATTGAAAATAGCCTTTCATATTCAACATTGATTATAGTAGCACTGTTGTTCTATTCTTCATATTTACCTTTCTTTATTTTAATTTTGTTTGGAAAAGCAGATGGAAATTGTTATTTACCGCTGTATAAACACTACCACTAGTGGGGGAAAAAAAAAAAATCAACTTTGTTTTCAAAAGACTCACTGTTAAAAGTGATCAGTATACTAGCCTGTTAAACCATACATTGGAGGTTGAAGTCCACCCAGAAATACCTCAGAAGAAAGGCCTGGGGATCTGCTGAAGAAAATAAACCATTACAAATTCTGTGGAGTACATTCTACTCTGACTCCTGGTATCCTCATAAGTCAAAATATCTCTGTCTCAACTTTTTTTTTTTTTTTTGGAGAGGGGACGTTCATTTTTGTGCATTTGTTAGGACTGTAAAAGTGGACATATAACTTGATTTTAAAACATGTAACTTGATTGGTGCTGTAATACAAGCATACTGACCTCAAGGTCAGTAGTTCAAACCCACCAGCTGCTCTGCAGAAACCCCATGTAGGGTCGCTAGGAGTCCAACCTACTTGATGCCACTAAAGAACAACAACAATGACAACTTAATTTTCCTCTGTAGGGGTTGGCAGACAGCATGGCAGAAAATGTGTGATGTCTGTGCATTTTCACAGTTATGGGAACATCCCTGGAAGAGCTTCCCATTCTACTGAGCAGAATATTGTTTTTAATCTTGTGCTTGTTCTAGGGGAGATAGAAAAATGAACCTACTTTTGAGGAATTCTGAAAAGTCGTCTGTCACAGTGTATAAAGGCTCACAGATACAGCAATGTTCTTTGCCCTTACCTTTATGCAGCAGGAACTGAAGATGTTAAGAAAGTCATTCTGTGTCACTGATGCATTTTGCTTGCATCTTTAGTTTAGGGAGACAGACACCTTCCCAGACTTTGGATGCCATTGCTCTCAGTAACTCATCTTTGTCACTTGGGGGACATTTTTTCTGTTCAGCAGTTCTGTTTTGTGCCTATATAGCTGACATTCCTCAAAACAGGGCCCTGATGCTCCTCTCTCTTCCCTTTGTTTTTTTTTTGCAGCTGGCGCTACGTACATCTTTGGGAAAAGCGGAGGCCTCATCCTCTACACCTGGCCAGCCAATGACCGGCCCAGCACACGTTCAGATCGTCTCGCCGTGGGCTTCAGCACAACCGTGAAGGATGGCATCTTGGTGCGCATCGACAGTGCCCCAGGCCTCGGTGATTTTCTCCAGCTTCACATAGTGAGTACCAGGCCTGGGCCTGTGTTCTCTTTTCTTCTTGGTGGCCTGAATTGGTGAGCCAGAACATTCTAGATAGACACAACAAAGGGGCCTGCTAATAAATACCATCTAAGTGGGCTGGAGCCTTCTGTAAAGGTTGTCTGTGTGTTAATTCTGACTCTCCCCTTCAGATGCAAACCCCACAGCCCAAAGAATGTCTCATGAAGAAAAAATAAAAATTATTTTTGTCCCTTGTATATAAAGAAACAGGAATGCTTTCTTTCTATACTCCCTTCTACCTGTGTAATTTGGCTTCTGGCAAAACATTTAACTGATGGTTTAGTGGTAAATAAGAGATTTACCTGCTCAGGCAGCAAAACCAACTTGAAAGTTAATGAATTCCTAGGCTGGGGTTCTGCAAACATTTTTTCAAAAGGGTCAGATAGCAACTATTTCTGACTTTGTGGGCCTTAGGGTCTTTGTTGCAACTATTCAAGTCTGCCCTGGTACTATGAAATCTGTTATAAAAAACACGTTTTTTAAGAAGGTGTGATTGTAGGTGAATACAATTTTATTTATGAAAACAGGCTATCTAGACTGTGATTTGCCAATCCTTGTCAAATGTTAAAACTTGATTGTAGAGATGTAAAGATCATTCGATGAAAATTGGGATCAGAACGGCAAGGTGAGAAATTCAGAAGTAGCACAATGACCAAGAATTGTTGTAATCTTGTGTATCGTGTCTCTAATATTTTGCGTTAGGTATTGTACATAGAAGCCCAATAGGACTTTACCCTCATTCACTATAGATCATAGGAATACAGTGCAGTTCTAGGAAATTAAAATGATTTGGAGGAAGAAATTACTTCGTTATGAGGATAGAAAATATTTTTATAGCAACAATTAACCCATTTTATCACCTGTGCAGTCTGCAGGAAAGAAAGTCGGCTAAAGAAGGGAATGATTCTCATCCATAAGTACCCAAAGTGCGGCCACCAAGAGCACAGAGAGAAATGATTCTCATTAGTTAGCAATGACAAGGCTAGAAAGAATGGATTTAATTTGAAGCAATAAGAATTCAGTTTAAATAGCAGGGGGGAGGGGGGAAATAAAAGCAGTTAAGGAAAAAGATCAACTGGGGATTACCACCAACCTCCAAAAAGAAAAAAAAAAAAAGAACATTTAGAGGGAATCTTTGAATCAGACTGTGCTAATGTACATGCAGGTTTACCAAAGGAAGTGGAGGATAAGATTGCATTTCTGGCCTCCAGAGTTGGCGGAGGCTGGCTGGAACCACAAGCCCCAAATTAAGAAGCCTTCACTCCCTCTCCCCAGCAGTTCCCATCTCCAGCACCTGCTCTTCCAGCATGCTTTGGAAACTGGAGCAGCTTGAAGCATGAGGCTTGACTTGGAAGCCTGTCTGACTTCAGTGTAAGCCAGAGTAGGGTAAGACTCTGCTTGGAAGGCTAGGGAAAGGTGCTTCGTAATGTGGAAGTGTGGTCCTGAATCGAATTATGAACCTTTAAGTCTTCCCAGATGCTTCAGGGAACCATATCGTACTATGCACCTTAACTTCAGCATTGTTAAATCCATGCTAAGGAGTAAAAAGAAAGGCAGCCATATTTTGTATAGTTTATTTGTATGTGGCTTCTGTGGTTGTTGTTTTTAAGTGCTGTTGAGTCGATTCCGACTCACAGTGACCCAATAGAGGATTTCCAAGGAGCAGCTGGTGGGTTTGAACTGCTGATCTTGTGGTGCAAACTGACCTTATGATCCAGTATGTACCCTACAGTGCCACATCAGGACTCCATATTTGGCCTATAGGAACCCCATGAATTACAAAACTCTCTGAGACTTACACTGGATCAGACTTAATGGCTATTTCATGATCAGCTCACCTGCATTTGCATGGTGATTTATCTTCTTTTTTGTTCAGTGTGACTTACTAAGAAAAATATGATTTGAGGCAACCCAGAGTATCCTGTTGAGTAAGATAATGTACTCCAGTTTCTCCAGTTTGTTCTTACTGGTGATTATAGAACATCTCCACTTTTAAGAGCAAAGTTACTTTATTTTCTGACAGGTTACTGAAAGTGACAGTCTTTTTGCCAAATTGATATGAAAATATGAGACAACGCCAGTGGAAACCAGTACATTCTAGTATATTATACCATTATAAAGTTCTGCCAGGTTTTGCTGTGTTTGAAAAGTTATTGAACCACAACATATGCTTTAAGTTCAAACAATATGAGGAGACTTCAAAAAGTTTGTGGATAAATAGATGTTTTCTACTATTTTTATTTTTAGCCTCCTCATATACATTTCTGGTGTGGCACTGTGGGTTAATGCACCAGACTGCAAAGCAGTTTGAACAGCAAGGCCGGCAGTTCAAGCTCACCAGTCGCTCCTTGGAAACCCAGTACATAGGTCGGATCCAACTTGATGACACTTAACAACAACAAAAACATATACATTTGATTAATTCCTTAGAGTGTATGCTGTAGATAAACACACATATTGAGATTGAACATAGTGTAATGTTGTTTTCTAAAAGTGAAATACCAAACATTTTACATCAAAATGTGCCGAGTCCCCTTGGAGTTGTTGTTAAGTGCCATCAAGTTGGTTCTGATTTATAGTAACCCCATATAGGGTTTCTGAGGAGTTACTGGTGGATTTGAACTGCTTACCTTGTGACTCACACTGACCTTGTAGTCCAATGCATTGTCATGCAGTGCCATACCAGGAGTTCTAGGTACTTATTCTAGTGATGGTTGTTGTTATTGTTGTTGTTGTTAAGTGCCGTCGAGTCGGTTCCGACCCATAGCGACCCTGTACAGGGTTTCATTGCTTAAATATTCCAGAACATCTAACTGAGTGTCCTACATACTTTGAGTTAGGTAAGAATGCTGTCTGATCCTTCTAGGGGAAAGAGAAAGAAACGTGCCGTTGTGGCATGATCCTGTCATGCCCATGACTGTGATCGTGAGAACACTTCATTATCTTAGAAATTTGAAACCATTTTTTCCCCTTCCTAATGAATCATCAAGGAATCTCAGTGGCACTGTAGGATAAGCACTGGACTGCTAATCACAACATGAGTGGTTCAAACCCACCAGTGGCTCTGTGGTAGAATGGAGATGTATGCTCCCATAAAGATTCACATCCTCAGAAGCCCTACACAGAATAGCTTTGAGCAGCTGCTAAGTCATTTCTTAGTGCATGTGGCACTTGTGGTTAATGCACTGGAATGCATGGCTGGTTTGAACCACAAGGTCAGCAGTTCAAGTTCACCAGCCACTCCTCGGAAATCCTATACCGGGTCACTATGAGTCAGAACCGACTCGATGGCATTTAACAACAGCAACAACAATACCTAAGAAGGCCGATAGACTTGGCTACAAAACCAATCTCCTTGAAAACCCTGTGTAGAGTTGGAATCAACATGGTGGCATCAGCATGGTGGCACTTAACAAAACATACTTAAGTAGATACATCAGGAAGCCAAAGCCATGACTATATGTTGTAGATACGGTGTTTTCTTTCAGGAATGAAGTTTGCTTCCTTGTGATAAAGAAAATTACTCAAAAAGAACAGAGTTTAGGGCTCATTAGTGAAAGTGGGATAATGTCATTAATGAAAGGAGTCCTGGTGTGGCGCTATGGAATAAAGCACTAGACCACTAGGTCAGTTTTAACCACCAGGTGGGTGGTTCAAGCTCACCCTTGGAAACCCTATACAAGGTCTCTATGAGTTGGAACCAACTTGACGGCACTTAAAAACAGCAACAACAATAAAAGTGGAGTCTTGGTGTGGCACTATAGCATAAGCACTGAAATGCAAACCTCAAGGTTGGAGGTTCAAACCCATCAGTTGCTCCTCAGAAACCCTACAAAGGGTCACTATGAATTGGAACCAACTCAATGACAGTTAACAACACCAACAACAATGATGAAGTGGAAAACCATGAGGGAGAGGCAAAGTATTTCATTACACTCGGAAGTTCACTGAAAAGAGCAATCCACTGGGGAAAAAAGTTAAAAAGTAGTGGCAGACACAAAGAGGCCATGAAAACAGCCTCAATCCCAGGGACCAGGGAAGACTGGAGGAGGGTGCTTTATCCACAGGTCGCATGTCTTCAAAGCTTTATTCTTTTGGACACAACAAAAAATACATTGGTATTCATTCTGATTCGTGGTCAAACAAGTGAAGTTGGTCAGAAACAAAATCAGATCTCTAAAATTAGTCTCTGTGCTGTATATGTGAGAGGGGGAGAGAAGGAATACAAAGTTTTGTTTTTGTTTTGTTTTGTTTTTTTATAAACTGGTGCTGAAAGCAATTTTTAGAAATTCCTGAAGTGTTTAGGGCTGCTTTGTTTGCCTCCAAGACTAGGCGTCTAAAAGAAGCGAAGGTGCTCTTTTGAGAACAATGGAAGCCTGAAATCAAGGTGAGAACGTGGGACCTCTAGAAGAGACTTGCTGTCTCAGAGCTCCCGGAGCAGGAGTAGCTGAGCAGGCAGGCCTGTTCTCACTGCCTGGTAGTATCTGCTTCCGTTTTCATTGGGAATGTTGCATGAGGAACATTCCACTAGTCTGTGCAGAAGTGGACTTAGTGGGTACATGCCACTTCTTCTCTAGCCTATATATACTCTGTCCTCCGTTAGGTGACTCAGCTTTCCTATCTCTCTGTGTCTGTCACCTGTAAATGGCTACACCAAAAATAAATAAATAAATAAATACTCTTTAGGAAAATAGCTAGCTTTTGAAATTTGTGTTCTACTTTGAGGCCTTGAGATCATGTACAAGTTTTTTTTAAAGAGTTAGTCACTTTGTGTTTCTTCCCACATCAGGTTGCTCTGATAGAATTTGACTCTTGTTTGGAGGTTTGGGGAGAATGGCGAAGAAATGGGCAAGACTAATTTGGAAGCTGGCAGGTGTGGGTGGAATAGGCTTTGTGGCCTAGGATGAAGGCATTGTGGCCTAGGGTGAAAAATTAGCACACAGAAAGAGGTACCCAAAGAG